TATTATTAATTAATTTACCTTTTTTATTTATTATTGATTTCAATATTAATCTTTCTATCTTCCATATATCTTGTTCATTGATGTCTTTTCTTATCGACTTCTTTAGTTGTAATGTTCTTGGAGTGATTTCTTCACGAAGATGGCACTTAAAAAATTGTACATCCTTTAAATATTTTTCTCTCTGTTCCTGTAAACCCTTCAATTTTGCCTCCGGATCCATCCTTCATTAAAAATATATATATATAAAAATATTCTAAAAAGAATCGATGGAGTCAGATAATCTATTTTTTTATTATTATTACCGTACTGTACTAATCTTTAGTACACGGAAAACTACTAGTTTTCCATTCGTTTCTGACCTTTGGAGGCTTAATAAGTCCCGAGTCCGTAGACTGGTATAAAAAATTAAAAAAGGTAAACAGGTTAACAAAGAAAATATAATTTTATTTTTATATAAATATATACTTCACCCCAAATGCATTTTGCCTGTCAAGGCCTCTTCAGTAGGGTTTCTGATAACTAGAATGTACAATAGGAACAGCAGAAGATATTCTAACATCTGCAGACGACACATTTTTCTCAGTCGTAGACACAGCAGAAAAAACTTCAACATCAACGAAAGACCCATCTTTCTCACTGATACCATCGCGTTTACAATCCTTAAATAACACCAACTCTTCCCAGCATTCCGCTGGCATCACTCCATTATTCAAATTCATTATATTACTTTGCATAATTATTGCGAAATGTTCTTTAAATTTTCTCTTAACAATATTTTTCTCTTTATGTATTATTTTTATGTTATTAATATCTAGTTGACATTTGTTCACATAACAATGCAAAAATACCGGGGAAGTATTAATTTTATTTCATACCGCTGCCAAGTGTTCCGACATCCTCACTTTGAGTTTCTGCTTTGTTTCTCCAACGTAATAATACGGTACTCCACACGTACATTGAAGCCTATAAACCACTCCTTCCTCTTCCAATAAATCTTTCTTTCTGTAAGGTTCAGTTCTAGATTTATTAATTTAGATAATCTATTTTTTTGCAATGGAGCCAATTGTATTAAGTTTTCATAAAAAACCTTTTTATATTTTTCAAAAATATTTTTAGTATACAGAAAAGAAACATACTTTTTACTTTCTTGCTTTTTCTTTACTTGAAATCTTCTTTTTAAATATTCATCATACTAGTTCTCCAGCAATCTTTTCGGATAATTGTTCAACAAATACTTCTTATTTATTTTTCTAATTTCTTCTATTCTTTTTTCATTTCTGGTTGTTCTGGAAAATATCTTTTTTACTTCCATTAAATAAATATTTCTTTTCTGGCTAATTGGACAATATGATCTAAAATTTATAACTTTGTTTGTGTTAAAAGGTTTTTCATACCTACAATACTCCAAATGATCTTTAAACCTGGTTATTGTAATATCCAAATAATTAAGTCTTTCAAATTTTTCACTCTCATAGGTGAACTTAATATGTTCATTAATTTCATTAGTTTTTTTAAGATTTTTTTAGGTGATGTTATTTTGCTATCATAAATAATAAATATATCATCAACATACCGTGCCAGAAAGACTATTCCACCTAAGTTCNATTGAATATATTTATTTTTTCTGTTTAATATTATTGGGTATGTATACATTTGCATTAAATTAATATTAAAATACTAAACGTTTAGGTACCCACGAGTCATGTTATCAAACTTAATAGTCCAATAAATGGCGTCCGAATCCATAACGCCATTGAATTTATCCCGTTAAGCAAACACCTTACGACGCAGTGGCACTTCTGGCGATCAAAAACTATCGTTAGTGAGACAAATCTACTTCTCGTTGGCCAGACGATATCTATCTCTTCTTAATTTTCCCGCTCAAACTGACCTTACATATGCACTACGGAGTCCGGTGGTCGACCAATCAGTGTCTCCGCTCGTCCGTAGCTTTACCTCGAGTTAACGTATCCTTTCGACTATGCAAAGTTTGACGGTTGAACTTTGTGAGTTAAACAATGATTGGGAGCGAAGTGCGAATGTAAAAAGGAGCATCGTCGCATCCATTCGACCATATTCCGAAATTTTCAATGAAAGTAAACAATTAAAGATGGATACTTTTTCCGAAAAATGTAAGAGATCCGAAACTAAAATTTTTAATAAAAACATTTAACTTTATTTTATGATAAAATACATTTTAAAAATTAAATTTATTTGTACTTTGTATTATATTGTATTAATAAACAAAATTATTTGGGTATTTTTCACTTATGTGGAACCTAACCCTATACCCCAGTGTAAATATGGGTTCGTTTTACGCCGATTGGATTTGCGCCGGCTTTTGTAGGAACGGAACTGCGGCGTAAACCGAGGCCTACCTGTATTACGAATTTGTGTATTAATCACACGAATGCTGCTTGCTTATCCTCGGGTATAAAAGTATGTTATAAACCAAAAAGAGATTAGATTCTAAATACGAAATAATTATTTATGAAATAAAAGTTTTGTCTACGTTGTCTTCATAACTCAACGAGAGGGTTCTCAAGCAGTTGTTTACTGGTAAACCCGCTATTGTCTATTATATTTAGCATTAAAGAGTACATTTCTTTAGCGATTGTTTCAAAACTTTCTCTGATGGAGAAAAATTTATTGTATTTTCGTAATCAGCAATTGTAATCATTTTGGTTCGCCCGTTTTTGCCCAAACTTTCTGAAAAACAGTTTACAAATGTCGATCTGTGTAATTTATTTACAATGAGAATCGACTGACGTTACCGATTCCGTCGCATCGCTAAGACATTAGAATTTTAAACAACTTGATAATAAACGCAATTGATGTCGAACGTATTTTTCTTATTTAAGATAAATTAATTCAACAAAAACTTACCGAAAAACTGAATTTTTGCTTCGAAAAACTTTACTCGATATCGCTACTTTCGCTCTTTACATCCGGCAACACTTAACTTAACTTCTTCACGTCCGGCAACACTTAACTCCTTTATGTCTGGCAACACTTTCCCGTTTATTCGATTCGAAAGCGTTTTGTTGTAGCACGTTTCGTAAGAATCGTTTAAGTTATCGCTTAATTATCGTTCGAGATGTCAATCGGAGTGCCAATGAAAGTTTTGCACGAAGCGGAAGGACATATCGTCACGTGCGAAACAAACACCGGCGAAGTTTACAGAGGAAAATTGGTAGAAGCCGAAGACAATATGAATTGTCAAATGTCGAACATCACGTGCACTTACAGAGATGGGCGCGTGGCTCAATTAGAGAATATTTACATCCGAGGAAGCAAGATAAGATTCCTCATCCTTCCCGACATGCTAAAAAATGCTCCGATGTTCAAGAAAATAGGACCGAAAGGCACTTCGTCTACCGCCGGAAGAGGCAAATCGGCCATTTTGAGAGCTCAGGGTAGGTTCATTTATTTATTATTTAACAAAAGGAATGATTACGGACTCCTTTATGTATGCCTATCGGAAGACTCTCAAAAACGGTAATAATTCTGCATCGTTTATGACTAAATGTTTTTATTCGTGCAAAACAATGTATACAAAGATCCCCAAGCCACAATGATGATCAAGTATTGAGTGTTTCCTATGGAAATTGCTTAAAGCACCCTCTGTCTCTATACAGTCTGTTACAACTATTGTATATTTAATCGACAATCTGGTCAAACTGTGGAGGTGAATAGCTTGCCAAGAGCCACAATTAGAGATAAGGTTCTTTTTGACTTTCTTTTGCTCGTTTAGAAGAATCCTAACCCCTCGTTCGACTGTACCGTTTTACATATTCTTGCCACAGAAACCGGGCCGTGTTTGGTAAATTCCGACTTGGTCGGGCCGTGCCTCCACGGTGGACGATATTCCTAGCAGTTGTGACTTTGTCCACTGTAAGAATTCTTATTCGTTTACTCTAACTACTTTTAAACAGCTTCCTTTTAAAGATATAATAAATTAAAATAGTTATTTTTTTATTTTTATTTAATTTTAACTTCATTTGTCAATTTTTCTAGTTGTCTGGCAAAGAATAATCGTTTGTAATGTTTGGAACATTCTTAGCTCTGTCCGGTAAGCAGCTCAGAATTCTGGTGTAGTGTTCTGCATTGTTGAACGTACCTAGGACACTTTTATGTAGGGACTTTGTCGCCATTTTGTAATGACCTATGTTGAAAAATAATTGTATAATAATATAATTAACATATGATGTAGGTTTAGTACTTTTATTATTCGGTACTAAACTTGTTTCAAATACTTACGTTAATTTTTTGAAAGTAAAACCTGACTAGCAGTAATGTTTAGGAAAGCCAACTCTATGCCCCTTATTCTGTGGTGAAATTTATATCATTATTGGACCTCAATTTGAAAAAATTGTAGACCTATAAATTTCCAACTGTCTGCCTGTTCGTTCATCTTTCGTTAATCTCGAGAATGGAGTTAGATAGACGAAATCTGAGACCGGATATGGAAACCTTAGGGACTAGAGGCCCCGACCGGCTATATATGAATTTCCCATGCAAATCAGAAATTGTATGTTATTTCAATTCAAAAATTTTTCCCTAAAAATGTTAGATAGGTGACTGGCATGACATTATTGTTAAAGGAAAAGTATGATGCATGGGGGCAAGTTGCAACTAATTTGATATGATGAGAATATACGAGGGCTGTTTTTTCCCATCCTCCGATGGTCCATTAAAAAAAAAAAGACAAGTGTAAATAACAAAATAAATCTATCATCAAAAGTTAGGTACAAAACATGGTTACTTTTTGACATAATCACCATGAAGATTGAAGCAGTTTATGTATCTGTGGACGAGCTTTTCTATCCCTTCTTCATAGAATGTTGCCACCAGGGAATTGAGATGGCCTTAACGACATTGTTTTGAAGATTGTGATTAGTCTAAAACCTCTGCCCTGCTAGCCACGTTTTCAGTTTGGGAAAGAGGTGGACATCTTCACATGTTAAAAAGTACTGATCTTTGTGGAAATCTTCACCATCTTTAAACACCTAGCATATACCCCTGATTTAGTGCCGAGCGACTTCCATCTTCCAAAATCTTCACGATGAGTATGTCAAAAAGTAACCATGTTTGTACCTAACTTTTGGTAATAAATTCATTTTGTTATTTACATTTGTCTTTTTTTATGGACCATCGGAGGTTGAAAAAACAGCTTACATATTTTAAATTAAATTAATTAAAAATATGATTAAAAATTGCAGCCCGGCATTGTGATGATGTCATAATAAATAATTGCTCATTGAAGTCTATATTCTTGTTTAGATTTGCAACTATATACACAAGTTATATATAAATACAAGCAGTTAAGAATACACCTTTGAAATTCCAGCAACTCTGATTTATTTGGTACAAATATTTTCAGCCATGTTTAAAGGTTTTCCTCAGGCTGTTCTTAATCAAACATCAAATTACATAAAAGAACAGTAGTATTTGAATATCATTCCTTTTTATAAAATTCTATTATTTAAAAATAAGCACAGTAACAACAAAAAAAACACTAATAGACAAACAAACACTTTCAACCATATTAAACAGTTTTAATCAGGTTTAACTTAGTAACTTTAAGGCCCTGTACACACTAGACGTTTTTCAACGCTCGTCAAACGCCGAGCTAACGCGCGTTAGCTCGGCGTTCGACGAGCGTTAGTTCGGCGTTTAGCACTGGCTCAGTTTGGAAATGGACGAGAAAGTAATTGATTGTGTGTGCTCCTCCATCGTCGCTATAAGGCAGCACATATATCTCAAAGCGCCCGTAAAGTGCCCGCAAAACGCGCGTTTTAACAAAAATCTATAAACGCGCATTTAACGTGCGCTTGGCGTTTGAGTGTGTACGGCTACATAGAACTCTTGGTTCTATAAAACGCGCGTTGAAAAACGCCTAGTGTGTACAGGGCCTAAATGGAGATTTTAATTAGAATATAATTTTTAAATATAAAGAACATTGAGCATTAAACGTTGATGAAACATTACGCATAACAAATGATGCATATGTATTAGTTTAACTAAGATATTGTTTATGCTGTCCTTTGATGACTGGGTTCACCAGTGGTTTCCTCTCTTCTCAGATTGGGGTTAGTTTTTAAAAAAATGTAAGCTAACTGAAATAAAGTAAACAACAAAAAACAAAATTACGATAGATAGATAATTGCTATAAGGAATCATTCCAACAAACTTTGTGTTTAGGCTCTCAATGAGATTTATGGATCTATAATGCTTCCAAAATTTTTATAATCCTTACCCTTGAATGTTAACTTTTATGCCCCATGATTTTCACTTGCATGATTAAATTTTACTTTTATAAAACCATCTGAAATAAATCCCACAAAGTAAATACAAATCAACTTAACTGAAATTTAAAATTTTAAAACCTACTACTACTTTCATATATCTGTTCTGATGTGTAAGGTTAATGCTCTATGAATGTCTCAATTTAACATGTAATTTTTTTAAAAGGAATTTAAGATGGTGTTTAAGATTTTCAAAAGCCAAAATTTTAAATACTGATAAAATTTTTTTTTCTTGCAAGGATATTTCTCTTCTATATCAATAAAATTATTCTAAAAAGAATTGATGGAGTCAGATAATCTATTTTTTTACTGTAATGTACTATTCATTAGTACACGGAAAACATATAGTTTTCCAATCGTTTCTGACTTTTGGAGGCTTAATAAATCCCAAGTTTGTAGACTGGTATAAAAAATTAAATAAAAGTAAACAGGTTAACAAAGAAAAACACTTTTATTTTTATATAAATATATACTTCACCCCAAATGCATTTTGCCTGTCAAGGCCTCTTCAGTAGGGTTTCTGATAACTAGAATGTACAATAGGAACAGCAGAAGATATTCTAACATCTGCAGACGACACATTTTTCTCAGTCGTAGACACAGCAGAAAAAACTTCAACATCAACGAAAGACCCATCTTTCTCACTGATACCATCGCGTTTACAATCCTTAAATAACACCAACTCTTCCCAGCATTCCGCTGGCATCACTCCATTATTCAAATTCATTATATTACTTTGCATAATTATTGCGAAATGTTCTTTAAATTTTCTCTTAACAATATTTTTCTCTTTATGTATTATTTTTATGTTATTAATATCTAGTTGACATTTGTTCACATAACAATGCAAAAATACCGGGGAAGTATTAATTTTATTTCATACCGCTGCCAAGTGTTCCGACATCCTCACTTTGAGTTTCTGCTTTGTTTCTCCAACGTAATAATACGGTACTCCACACGTACATTGAAGCCTATAAACCACTCCTTCCTCTTCCAATAAATCTTTCTTTCTGTAAGGTTCAGTTCTAGATTTATTAATTTAGATAATCTATTTTTTTGCAATGGAGCCAATTGTATTAAGTTTTCATAAAAAACCTTTTTATATTTTTCAAAAATATTTTTAGTATACAGAAAAGAAACATACTTTTTACTTTCTTGCTTTTTCTTTACTTGAAATCTTCTTTTTAAATATTCATCATACTAGTTCTCCAGCAATCTTTTCGGATAATTGTTCAACAAATACTTCTTATTTATTTTTCTAATTTCTTCTATTCTTTTTTCATTTCTGGTTGTTCTGGAAAATATCTTTTTTACTTCCATTAAATAAATATTTCTTTTCTGGCTAATTGGACAATATGATCTAAAATTTATAACTTTGTTTGTGTTAAAAGGTTTTTCATACCTACAATACTCCAAATGATCTTTAAACCTGGTTATTGTAATATCCAAATAATTAAGTCTTTCAAATTTTTCACTCTCATAGGTGAACTTAATATGTTCATTAATTTCATTAGTTTTTTTAAGATTTTTTTAGGTGATGTTATTTTGCTATCATAAATAATAAATATATCATCAACATACCGTGCCAGAAAGACTATTCCACCTAAGTTCAATAAAAAACTTTATCTATATTTTTCATAACAATCTCTGCCAGCTAAAGCTAAGCATAACAATCTCTGCCAGCTCACTGGAAAACTAGATGTTTTCCGTGTACTAATGAATAGTACATTACGGTAAAAAAAAAAAGATATTTCTCTTGCTTGTCAAATGAATGGGCATTAAAAAGCTTTAAAATGAGCAAAAAATAAAAATAAATAAACAGCTCTCTGTGACAAATGATTACTGATTTCTAACTATTTTTATCAAATGTCAATTTGTTTTTGACCATTTCAAAATTCTGTATAATATCGAAAACTAATTCTATAAATGGTAAAATGCATATTTTTTACAATATTCACCAATGATACTAGTGATCTTTATTGCTTCCTAGAAACAATAACAATTGCCTTAAATGCAATCCAAGCATCCCGTTATTTCTCATTCATTGCAGAAAGAATTTGTGTGTCTGGTTATTAATTTCCTTGTATCAGGTCCTGTAAATACACCTTCTTTTAGTTTTGCTTCGGACAAGGCTGGAAACTTTTTGCATAAATACAAAAAGTAGTCTCCATCCTTTGATAAATCCTTTATGAACTGTTTCATTAAATTAATCACAGTTTAATATATATGTGCAGCAGCAGCACCTTCTCCAGGTTCACCAAGCTGCTCTTCACAATATTTATTATGCCAGGTTGTAATTGTTTTCTAGGTAGCCATTGCTTCTGAACCCAATGCAAATTCCTGGCTATACTGTCCCATTCACAGAGAAAACATGGAAACTTGGTGTAATCTGATTACTGACCTAATAACATGCACAGTACTTTCAAATCTCCACAGATAAGCCACTGATGCATATCATAATTAAATTTTTTTAGAAGAGTTTCCAAGTTTTCATATATTTCCTTCAGTTGCACAGAATGTGCTACAGGTATTGATGCATATTTATTTCCATTGTACAGAAGCACGCCTTTGAGACTTCTTTTGGATGAGTCTATGAATCTACAGGCTTCTGCATTATATTCTATTCCAAATTTCTGCACTAAGCCACCTATGACTCTGCAATGAACCGTCTTTTGCGAAATATTTGATATATTCCTTTTCTCTATTCCTGTACTAGGAGAACGTGGTGTTAATGTCCAATAAGTTTTTGTATTTCAATCGGAATCCTAGTAACTCACATGCATCTTTGCTAGACCAAGGTCTCTTACCAAATCATTTAGCTTGTTCTGAGTGAAAGATTGTGACTCATCGGTAGAAGGACCAGGGGCAGATTCTTTGACCTCTTCTGAGTTAGTTACAAGTGGAACAAGACATTATGGTAGAACAGGTATAGGTATATTGAGTCCATGTGGTAAAGGTCTTATTGCCGGTTGAAGATTAGGGTAAAAATGTCTTTTTTTTTTTTCATTTTTAGTGTTACAGCCCTGAATTTTGTAGGTACAAAAATATCATTCATCCCTATGATTATTTGGTTCCCTCCGTATCATGGGTACTCCAAAAGAGAGTTTTTTCTTCTCTCTTGTTTAATGTCATAAATCCTCAACAAAAATAACACAAATGATGTGAGGAGCCCATTGTTTAACTTGATCACCAAGCTCTACTCCAAAGTTGGCATAATATGCTTTTTTTTACAAAATTTGTAATATTCTTGTTTTTTTTAAACAATTTGCCACATATGTAACAAAAAATATTAGGACTATTTATACAACCTAGACACCACCATTGAACACTGTTTACTAACAAAATAGGAAAATACAAAATTAATCAAGCACCAACGTCAAATGAAATCAATAATTACTATAAACTACTACATACAATTAACATCTGGGGACCAACATATGCAAATCACAATAACAAGTATTTGCAGTTCTTCAGTTCGGTATATTTGTATTAACTTAGATGTAGACATGGTAGTCACAAGTCAACCACTCCACAACCAGTTGATTCCTGCACAACACCTGATGCAGCATGTTTGATTACATGTATATTTTGGTTAAATCAGGAATTCTAAATCAATTTCTTTGTTTTAAAAATGTAGGTATATTTTTTTAACAACATAATTATATAAATTATGGCTACTGAAATATGTCACTAATATGGGTGCAAAATATGTGAAGAAAGCATCAATTTATCCAATAAAAAATGGTTTTGTAGAAAAACGTTACGTTAACTGTACTTTCTATTTTCATTAACTGACTTTTGAGCTGCTCTGGATATTATAGCAAGATAATTTATATTTGTAAGATCTTAAATGGCATAGAAATTTGTTTTTCAAATTATATAAATAATTTTTTTAGTTTATAGTTCTTTTTGGCAATTATAAAATTATTCATTATTCAGGAATAGGGTTGATATAGGAAAGTTATCAATCATAAAACAAAAACAATGGTGTAAGACTACAATATTCTATTTTCTCCATCATCAGGAGACAGCAAAAGATTTCTTTGTGATTTGTGATGATGAACAGTTTCAGTGTACTGTACATGCAGAAAATTGCTTCATTCTTTATATGCTGATCTTAAATTGCTATTATCTGTTTAATTCGCATAACTCATTCTGTTTCAAATTGTCTTTAATCACAGATAATCCTTAGGCTGTGCACATAAAAATACAATAACTGAATTTGTATCAACCATAAAAAGTGCATACATGCTATTATATTGGAAATTTATATATTTAAGAACATGTATGTAATTATATATTTTTGCTTTCTGAATTAATCAGCACAATTCATTATCAATTGAAAGAATGAATAGAGAGGTTGAGGCCGAAGTTTTCATCTGTAAAACGTGAACGTTGAATTCAACGTTAATGTTTTACAGGTGAAAACTTCAGCCGTAACCTCTCTAATATTTAAAATGATAAACCTCTAACACAGATTTAAAGTTGAAACAATTTAATAAAATTAAATATAGAAAATGCATAGCAGTAAGTGATAGTGAAAATTCATTACATTAAGGGCTCTTCAGTTTGTTGAATTATGACAATACAACACTTTGGCATCTACTTAGGGCAGGCATGGCCAACATACGGCCCGCAAGTCAGATCCAGCCCGTCTAACGAATTTATGTGGCCCACGATCAATCTTTCAAAATAGCTCGATGAAAAATTCTGACACCTAAGTAAAGAAAAAGGTCAACAACTCGCCGTGTGTTTAGAGTTAACCCTCCATTACAAATCTCTTAAGTACAGCATAGAGTGTTGATAAAGCATGATGATGTGAGAAATGTATCTGTAATCTCTATCTACAATTCAGTCTCTATCTCTATGGGGTGACACCACAATGAGTTCTCGCACCACCTCAAAATCTTCCTAAGGCAACCTCTGGTTCAGCCCGTGGAAAAGGTTTTCTTTCCAATCCGGCCCGGGGGCAAAAACTGTTGGCCACCCCTGGCCTAGTGGGATGCCTTCCAGAAGGTCTTTTTAAGGGTAACTGGTCCCTATTCAGGCATTACAGATGTGGAGAAAAGCCGGAAAACTCCACATGGCCAGGCATGAACCCGTGACCGAACTCCCAGTGCTCAGGGAATGGAACTGCGTGGCCAATGGTGGCCAAGGGCTCTTCTGGATGGCTACGCTGTAAAGATGGTAGGTAGTCTACCTCTCTGGGAGACTCTAGATTGAACTGGATGGGTCAAAAGCACCAGGGAATTGATCACCCCCTGAAAATCTGGATATGATGGGCTCACTAAAAAGGGGAACCTTCTAAGTGCCCACAGGATAGTTTGAAAAAAAATGAAAATTCATTTGTAATATTGTTTTATCATAGAATAACAAAAAAGGTTTAGTAATTAGTCTTGTAAAATGTGTGCGAATTTTGTATAATTCTGAAATTAATAATCGGAATTTATTTTTTCTTTTAGCCGCAAGAGGACGAGGACAAATGTTTCAAAGAAGGCAACTCTTTCAGAGAAAAAAATGAAACACTTAATTTGTATTCATTATATGAAACTACATTAAAAATTTTTGTAACTATTTCAAAAATAGCTTTTTGACTAAAAATGATAAATAAATTCACAAAAATTTTTGTTTTCATAATTGTACCACATTAAACAAATTTTAACAGAACTTTTTTTTGTAACAATGAAATGTTTCAAATGTAAGTTTTATATTTTTAATAGAAATAAAGAAATTTTATCACCAAGTTTAATTAAACAGTAAAATGATGTTTAATTAATTCTAATATGAATAAATTAAGCATCTATTCATTATATACAATGGTCCTGGGATAGAGTGGGTCCCTTTACCTTTTTGTTTTTTGAAGGAACCTATAGAATGTTTATATTAAAAAGTTTCTTGCCTGTGTTACTTAATTATAAAAACTACTTTGGTTACTATCAGTAATGAACAAACTTACTACACACCAGCCTATTTAATTAAAATAGGTTGGGTGTGTAATAAGCATTAGTAATAATAACTAAGTAGTTTTGTAATGTAGAATGTTTGTTTATTACTAAGAATACTGTCTGATGGTTGGCTTAGATGTTAAGGTGATAGATTACCGTTCTGGGAGCCGGGATCGAATCAGGATGAATGGAAAAATTGGGCCCGTTTCATTGCCCATCCAAGCGCTTGGTCAAACCCTATTGAGCTTGCTTAGGGCCTAAGTGCCTAAAGGACAGAGAATTTTTAAAAAATAATGCCCGTCAATGACAGATCTTTTCAATATAATTCATCATAAAAAATCATTAAAACTCACTGTTTTGTAGTGGTGGTGATTCCAAAGTGTAGTATTTCCTTATCACTTTCCTTCAGTAAAGGGAATTCTCTCAAGGAGAAATTCAGTAATTTTGAAAATGTATTCTGATTTGAATAAATTTATTTCCGGAATGGTTTTATAATTAAATAATCTAAAGCAATCGTGAAAATGTATAAATATAGCCTAATTTAATTGCGAAATTTGTATTCTACAATTTAAGGCTGATTGAAACCTCACAAACAACCTTAATTAAATTGGGTGATGCACACAATATGCAGATGGCATTTAAAAAACAATGCTTTTTCTAGGAGAAATCGTTTTCCAAAAATTCTCGAAAGCGGAAGCAGGTAGATCTTAACAATTTTTTGCTTTAGAGTCATATTTAATTCTTTTAACGTACGGTTTAGAGATTTTAAACTCGAATTCGTTAGTTTTATACCAATTTTTAGTCTGAGTGCATAAGGGACTGCCCCTAAATTACTTCCGCGTTTTTCTTTGAAATGTTTACTCCCCCGAATTGTTCCAGTTTCCGTAACCTCCTCTCCTCATATATTTTATTATTCATAAAGTAGTAACGCAAAATTTAATGAAATAAAACGGACGTCCATTGAAAGTCAACACCTCTTCCGAATTGTCATCCCTTCCAGTGTGGATGTCATTTATGGACAGCCCCTAACCAGTGAAGTTACAATGACTATTAAATGCTTACTTTTTATAATAATGGAGAATAAACGAATATTTTATAGGAAAGAATTATTCGTAAGTTTATATATTAGCTACTAATACAATAGGATAAAATATTACCGAAGTACAGTAGACCCCTATAACGCGGTAGATACGTTCCTCGTTATACGAATTTCGCGTTATAGGAATCCTTAAATACATGAGCCAATCGCAGCCCGACACGTGTGAAGTTTACGGACTATGGCTGTTTGAAAGGTTCTTCCATAAAATTAATCAATCCTAGACTAGTTCGACTTAACATTTCCAAAATACGTATAATTTTTTGGGAATAATCCATATAAACTATACTATAAACAAAAAATTGTAGGATTACTTACCGAGGGTGCACCGTTCGACGTTGCCATTGCTTAAGCTTGTTTTCGTCGCGGAGCAGCGCATTTTCTGATGTTATTTTTGTGCGAAAAATTCGTTGAACTTTGGAGCCGTTGAATAAGAAATGTTTCTTTCACAAGAAGTGTATAAAATTACAGTGCTGTATTAGACTTACGATACCTAATTTACATACTGTACAGACTATAGTAAACTCAATTTACATGCCTAAACTCCCCGTAGCGTGGCGCTGGACGGCGGAAAGTATATATATAATNATGTCGTAGGTTTAGTACTTTTATTATTCGGTACTAAACTTGTTTCAAATACTTACGTTAATTTTTTGAAAGTAAAACCTGACTAGCAGTAATGTTTAGGAAAGCCAACTCTATGCCCCTTATTCTGTGGTGAAATTTATATCATTATTGGACCTCAATTTGAAAAAATTGTAGACCTATAAATTTCCAACTGTCTGCCTGTTCGTTCATCTTTCGTTAATCTCGAGAATGGAGTTAGATAGACGAAATCTGAGACCGGATATGGAAACCTTAGGGACTAGAGGCCCCGACCGGCTATATATGAATTTCCCATGCAAATCAGAAATTGTATGTTATTTCAATTCAAAAATTTTTCCCTAAAAATGTTAGATAGGTGACTGGCATGACATTATTGTTAAAGGAAAAGTATGATGCATGGGGGCAAGTTGCAACTAATTTGATATGATGAGAATATACGAGGGCTGTTTTTTCCCATCCTCCGATGGTCCATTAAAAAAAAAAAGACAAGTGTAAATAACAAAATAAATCTATCATCAAAAGTTAGGTACAAAACATGGTTACTTTTTGACATAATCACCATGAAGATTGAAGCAGTTTATGTATCTGTGGACGAGCTTTTCTATCCCTTCTTCATAGAATGTTGCCACCAGGGAATTGAGATGGCCTTAACGACATTGTTTTGAAGATTGTGATTAGTCTAAAACCTCTGCCCTGCTAGCCACGTTTTCAGTTTGGGAAAGAGGTGGACATCTTCACATGTTAAAAAGTACTGATCTTTGTGGAAATCTTCACCATCTTTAAACACCTAGCATATACCCCTGATTTAGTGCCGAGCGACTTCCATCTTCCAAAATCTTCACGATGAGTATGTCAAAAAGTAACCATGTTTGTACCTAACTTTTGGTAATAAATTCATTTTGTTATTTACATTTGTCTTTTTTTATGGACCATCGGAGGTTGAAAAAACAGCTTACATATTTTAAATTAAATTAATTAAAAATATGATTAAAAATTGCAGCCCGGCATTGTGATGATGTCATAATAAATAATTGCTCATTGAAGTCTATATTCTTGTTTAGATTTGCAACTATATACACAAGTTATATATAAATACAAGCAGTTAAGAATACACCTTTGAAATTCCAGCAACTCTGATTTATTTGGTACAAATATTTTCAGCCATGTTTAAAGGTTTTCCTCAGGCTGTTCTTAATCAAACATCAAATTACATAAAAGAACAGTAGTATTTGAATATCATTCCTTTTTATAAAATTCTATTATTTAAAAATAAGCACAGTAACAACAAAAAAAACACTAATAGACAAACAAACACTTTCAACCATATTAAACAGTTTTAATCAGGTTTAACTTAGTAACTTTAAGGCCCTGTACACACTAGACGTTTTTCAACGCTCGTCAAACGCCGAGCTAACGCGCGTTAGCTCGGCGTTTGACGAGCGTTTAACGCGCGTTGAAAAACGCCTAGTGTGTACAGGGCCTTAAAGAAAAACTTTCATCTACAATATATAATTAGGCCTAATTAGGTTAAATGTAAAGATTGAGTGTCTTCCTGTATTGCTGTATTGCAATAGA